ACAAGAGAAAATTTCAAACATTCTCAACAGCATAAATCATTACATATTGCTGGGGACTTGCAACCGCAAGGAACTTCAATCTCTTATTGGTTCCCTAAACTTTGCTATGCGCATTTACCCACAAGGGCGGGCTTTTATATCCTGACTTATTTGTCTTTTTCCACAATTCCGACACGACAACCATAGATTGTCCATGGCCACAGCAGACCTACACATGTGGAAGGAATTCTTGACAACTTGGAATGGTAAAAGTTTATTTCTTCCAAGTCTTTCTGACAGGTCACCAACCATATGGTCAGACACAGCATCTACCATGGGTTTTGCAGCAATCTTTGAAAATGAATGGCTTTAGGGTGAGTGGCCTGGAGAAGTCCATGACTTAGAAGGCTTTTTTACAACCTCAGCTCTTTTTGAGATTTACCCTATCTTAGCGGCAGCTGTAGCATGGGGACATTTATGGACAGGCTTGTCAGTTCGTTGTCACTCAAACAACCAGGCCACATGCCACATCATTAACAAAGGCTGTTCATCATTCCCAGCAATCATGAGGTTTCCTAGAAAACTCACGTGGGTGGCAGCATGTCACAATTTTTACTTGGTTTGCTTTTATGTTCCAGGAACCAGTAACATAGCAGCTGACAGTCTGTCTCGTTTTAACTTTCAGGCCTTTCGGAAAGCACTCCCATCAGCCGCTCAAGCAGCAAAAGCCGCCCCTCAATTCCAACAACTAACCATGGACTAAAATTAATCATGCAACATAGCAGGAATCTGTCCAAAATAGCACTTTCATCCAAAACATACAACAGAGCCTTCTCACTATTCACAAGATTTCTATCAGACCACGACATATCCCAACCTTTTCTCATGACATCTATCATAGCCTTCGCCTCTATTTGCCACCTTAAAGGGACACTATAGTTCCTTGAACAACTTTAGCTTAATGAAGCAGTTTTGGTGTATAGAACATGCCCCTGCAGCCTCACTGCTCAATCCTCTGCCATTTAGGAGGGAGGTATGAACCCTAGTCACACCTCCCTCCATGTGACTTGCACAGCCTTCCATAAACACTTCCTGTAAAGAGAGCCCTATTTAGGCTTTCTTTATTGCAAGTTCTGTTTAAGATTTTCTTATCCCCTGCTATGTTAATAGCTTGCTAGACCCTGCAAGAGCCTCCTGTATGTGATTAAAGTTCAATTTAGTGATTGAGATACAATTATTTAAGGTAAATTACATCTTTTTGAAAGTGAAACCAGTTTTTTTTTCATGCAGGCTCTGTCAATCATAGCCAGGGGAGGTGTGGCTAGGGCTGCATAAACAGAAAAAAAGTGATTTAACTCCTATATGACAGTGAATTGAGCAGTGAAATTGCAGGGGAATGATCTATACAGGGGCGTACCTAGAGCATTTGGCACCCGGGGCGGATCCTGTGCTTGGCACCCCCCCTCAAAAAAAAAAACTTGTAAAAAAATTTAAAGGTTCTTTCTTTTTTTTACAATTTGTAAACTTTGCAAAACCGCTGTCAGCCCCTCCTACAAAACCCTTGTCCTGCCCCGCCCTCCTACAAAACCTCTGTCCTGCCCCTTCTACAAATCCTGTACTGCCCGTCTACAAAACCCCCGCAACCCCCTTCCACAAATCCCCTGCTTATCCCCCCTTATAAAGACTCCTGTCCCAATACAAAACCCCCGCCCCCTTCTACAAAATCCCTGCAGCCCCACACACACATTTACAGGCAGACAGTCACACACTCAGTTACAGACAGACAGTCACACACTCAGTTACAGGCAGACAGTCACATACAGTCACAGGCAGACAGTCACACATACACATTTCCTCCGTGCGGCCAGTTTATCAGCTGTTACCACCCTAACTACCATGGGACACTGTGCGGCCACAGCTCACACAGCCCCCTCCAGCCAGGGCCGGTACAAGGATTTTTGCCGCCCAAGGCAAAAGTAAAGTTTGCTGCCCCCCATGTGACATCACAATGCCCCACCCATATGATTTGCCATGTTAACTAACGCCAGTGCTGCAGTGCCGCCGTGTTTACATTAAAAGGCCTGCAGGGACAGGCTACAGACACCAGAACCACTACATTAAGCGGAAGTGGTTCTGGGGACTATAGTGTTTCTTTAATGTGAGGTAAATTAGAGCTTAGTGCCACAAATAATATACTAGATTGCCTACTTACAACCAGATAAGGATGATGATGGGCTCTAGCTGCAGTCTGGCTCCACTGGTCTGGTGCAGAACAGGCTCTCTGGAGGCGGTTTGTAACTGTGGTCACAAAAATCAATGTTCTGGGAGACCGGGAAGCAGCTCCATTTTTTGGGGGTCCTTTACACAGCTCAAGGTCTGGGTCCAGGGTCCACCTTCATGTTCCACCAATGAGTTTGTTCACAGGGGGTGGAGTGTGTAGGGGATGTCCTGATATGTGTGTAAGGAATGCATTGTGTGAAATTGTGTTTGTATGTGTAGGGGCTGCAAGGTGTGTTTCTGTGTATGTATGGGATGCATTGAATGTGTGTAAGGGGTGCATTGAGTGTGTGTAATGAATGCATTGTGTGTTTCTGTGTGTGTAAGGGATGCCTTGTGTGTAACGGTTGCATTGCTTGTGTATGTGTGTCTGTGTGTGTAATGCATTGTGTGTTTTTCTGTGTGCAAGGGGTGCATTGTGTGTATGTGATGAATGTCAATCTCTCCTCCCGCTCCAATTTCCTTCTCCTCCTCCCAATTTCTCTTTCTCACCCCCCCTTCTAATTTCTCTCCCCCCCTAATTTCTCTTTCCCCCCTCCTAATATCTCTCCCCCCTCCTAATTTCATTTTCTCTCCCCCCCAATTTCTCTTTCCCCCCTCCTAATATCTCTCCCTCCCCTCCACATTTCTCTTCCCCCTCCTAATTTCTCTCACCCCCCCTCCTTTCTCACCTCCTTTCTCACCCCCCTCCTTTCTCTTTCTCACGCCCCCCCCCTCCTTTCTCTTTCTCACCTCCTTTCTCACCCCCCCTTTTCTCCTCTTTCACCCCCCTCTCCTTTTTCACCCCCCACTTTCTCACCCTCCTCCCTCCTTTCTCTCCCCCCACTCCCCGCACTTGCTTTGCTTGTGGCATGGCGAGCCACTGGCATGTAGTCAGCGGGTGCAGAGCAGCTGTCTCCTGTACCCGGCCGGACTAACAGGAAGTGCACACTTCCTGTTAGTCCGGCCGGGTACAGGAGACAGCTGCTCTCTGTACCCGCGGACTATCAATGCTGCAGGGCTCGGCCATGCTACAGCAAAGGAAGCTGACAGGAGGGAGGGCTGAGCGCTGAGCGCTTTCCCTCCTGTCAGCCTCTCCTCAGGTTGCGCCCGGGCGGTGCGGTCCGCCCTCATGGACGCACCGCCCGGGCAATGCTGCAGCCGCCTGAGGCTCCCTACAGAGCGCTCAGGCGGCTGCAGCATGGGGGGAGGGCTGGTCATGGCACCCCCCATCCTGGTGGCACCCGGGGCGGACCACCCCCCCCCTTAGTACGCCACTGGATCTATACACTAAAACTACTTTATTTAACAAAAGTAATTAAGTTGACTATAGTGTTCCTTTAAATTACACTTATCCTACAATACAATCAAATTATATCTCACAGGCATTCAACATCACATGCTAACCCTACGGCCTACTACACATAGCTTCATGTCTTCTTATCAGGTAAAGAACATACTCAGAGGCATTCAGAAATCAGTCCCTCCACGTTCCCCACAACGTTTACCTATAGACAATACATTGTTTCAGTCATTATCCGATCTATTAGACTCCAAGCCTTTCCACTTTACCACCAACACCGTCATCAAAACTGCCCTGTACATAGTCTTTTACGGTTTCCTCAGGCCACGAGAATTCACTATTATCACCACCACTCAGACAGACAGATGACTCCTACGCACACACCTACGCAAACATATGGACCACTACATACTAGCACTACCATAGACAAAAACAAGTCAACACGCACCTCCAGTTGAAATCACTTATTATCCTACCCAAAACAAATGGTGTCCAATGGCAGCTTTGGATTCATACCGGTTACATACCACATCACTACCATCACCTCATCTATTTGCACTACAAGGCTCTGTACTTACTATCACTATTTTCATGAAATACATCAGATCCCTGTTAACTATGCTAGGTTTTAATCCTGCTCAATACTCAGGTCACTCCGCATTGGTGCGGCCTCCCACCATACCAGTGCACGTCATAAAAACACTGGGACATTGGAAGTCATCCGCCTATACAATTTACATACCCAAGCCAACACAAGAATTAAGAAATGCATTTAACTCTATATCTGGATAAATTGTATATATTGTTGAATGTATTAAATCTTTTGGTTAATCATTTTTGCCCTATTTATTTACAGGTCTACCGTATCGTCGGTCTCGGCACACCACAACCGACTTGCTCTTTTATACTATCCTAAGTTATACTATCCTAAGTTATACTATCCTAAGTTATTACTTGAACCTTACTCCATATACGGCTATTTGCCCCTTACAAGTATTAAGGCCGTTTGGCCTGTAATTGTGGGAGGGGCTTAAGATAACTCACTCCCCTATATAAGATACACCCCTTAGAAGGTCAGCTTCTGAATGACCCTCCCACCCACTCCTCATCATAACACTTTCTATTTTTCTTTTCCTTTCCTTTCCTTTTCTTACTCCTTGGTGGGCCCTCTTTATTTACAGGCCTACCGTATCGTCGGTCTCAGCACACCACAACCAACTAGCTCTTTTATACTATCCTAAGTTATTACTTGAACCTTACTCCGTATATGCTATTTGCCCCTTACACAAATATATATATATATATATATATATATATACATACATACATACATATCCAACATGGGGTTGGCAAACACATTCCTGTCCTGTTCTTGCCTCTGTGCTATTTCGTGCCCCAATAAAACATCCCAGAGAAATGCACTTAGAGGGCTTGTAGTCTTGTGCAATAAATCTTTTATTTGTGCAAAGGTACAGTCAACGTTTCAATCCGACTTGAAAAAAATCCAAGTCAGACTGAAATGTTGACTGTACCTTTGCACAAATAAAGGATTTATTACACAAGACTACAAGCCCTCTGAGTGCATTTCTCTGGGATGTTACATATATATATTTGTATATATATATTTTTCAGATTAAATTTTTAACATATACATATAAACATGTTTATTCACTTTTTATTGTAGTCGAAAAGATATAGGGTTAATTGTGGGGCAAAATATAAAAAATAGTATTTTGTAAAAATTATGAAAAATCTATAATTGTATTAACAATAATTTTGAATAAACTGAAGAGTTTCTGTGTGCGCAGCGCAGTGGGACCAATGTAGGTGGTTTTAACCCTTCTTGAACTGAAGTTTGTGTTTGTGCACTGTGTTTCCATTACCCATCTTTCTCCCTTTATCCCTCTCTATCAGATAATTTTTTGCTTACTTGTGTTCTTCCCCTTTTACCACTTGTGCCCACCTCCCCATATTCATCTCTTCTCATTCCTGCTTCACTTACCTGTTCCCCTTGTATCTCCACCCTTATTTATCTCTTGTCATATGTCCTGCCCTTTGTTCCTTTCTTCTCATACTCCCACTACCGTCACTTGTTCATGTCTTCCATTTTTCTTAAATTTTCGTCCCTTTTTTAATAACCTCCAAAGCACACACATTATTGTTGCCCAGCCCATATTTTTCACAGCCTCCTGGACATTAGACAGCATGTTCTCATGCTCTGACCCATATAGGTGTAGTAAATGATCTTTCTTTATTTCCCTTCTTCTTCCATTTTGTCTTCTTACCTTCTTACTGCCGCTAATTCTATATTACTACCATTTTCATGTTATTGAGGTGGTGGTATTGTATTTTACTTATGCCTGACTTATATTATTTATATTTCACACTTCTATATGGTGACTAAATGTGTGCAATAAAGATTGTTGAAACAAAACAAAATATATATACAGGCATTTCTCACTTTCTGAACTCCCGCTTTCTGAACTCCCACCTTTATGAACTTTTTTCTGGATGTGCCGCCATTTTGTTTCACCACCATTTTGTGTCAGTGGTCCACGGATCAGGACCGAGAAGAGTGCTTTGGAGCACAAACAAGAAGAAAAGAAGAAGATTTTGTGGTCAGGAGTAGACAAGAAGAGAGATGAGGATCAGGAACACAGTTCCTGAAGATAAAGGGAAGTCTTAAAAACAGGTTTAGATTGTACTGTATTCTTTTTGTGCTTTCATGGGCACACATTACAGATACTGTAATATTATTGCACTGTGTGCTACTGAGTATAGATTTGACTTGATTTGTCTCTGTGTGTCTGACATAGCTGTCTGTGTGTATGTGTGTTGCCATTGTGCCATGTTTTGGCAGGCAGCAATAGTAAGGAGCAGGAGGAGGGCTGAAAACCTTGAAAAATGGGAGAAGGAAGAAAGTTTGAGAGCTGTAAAAATAAAAGGAGTAACAGAAAAGTAATAAAGGAGAGGGGGAAGCTGATAATGAAGAAAATGAATAAGTATGAGGGTTTAAGAGAGGTGCCCCCATTCAACAATTGCAGCTAGTGATGTCCCGAACTGTTCGCCGAACGGTTCGCAAACGGTTCGCCGAGGACTCATCATTGAGTAAACTTTGACCCTGTACCTCACAGTCGGCAGACACATTCCAGCCAATCAGCAGCAGACCCTCCAATTTCCTGGACAGCTCACCAAGAATGCAGCTTCACAATGGATGCTGTCCAGGAGGTGGGAGGGTCTGGGAGGGAGGGTCTGCTGCTGATTGGCTGGAATGTGTCTGCTGACTGTGAGGTACAGGGTCAAAGTTTACTCAATGATGAGTCTGTGGCGAACCGTTTGTGGCGAACCGTTCGGCGAACAGTTCGGGACATCACTAATTGCAGCATGTCTCTTCATTGAATTGTTTGAGGATTGATGATAATTTAAAGAAGATTTCAATATGGTATGCATGCCTTCAAAATTCCTACAACATGCATGTATTTGCTATGCTTTCATTTTATATTTGTACTTAATAATTTAGGTTTTCAATGGTAAAATCTGTTGGTCAGGAACTGAACCCGTGTTTATTACATTGTGTCTATGGGAAATTAATTCTCACTTTATGAACTCTAACTTTATGAACTAGGCTTCGGAACCAATTAGTTCGTAAAGTCATGAACTACCTGTATATTAAAAGTTAGGATGTTAATGCACAAATAATGATATGCCTTGTTAACTAATGCAAGAGTACTTTGCATATATATACACTATGTACATATGTAATGACCTGTAATGGCATTCTAATTTGCCTGAGTAGTATGCTTTAATTTCCTGTTTCCTAACTGCTGCAGTTTACTATTAATTTTATTAAATAACTTTTCTTGCAGCTAGTACTTTGTTGAAAGTCAGGTACTGTTATAAGAAATTCCCGTCATAATTTCCAGCACGTTAAGGGATTGCGAGAAGCCAGTCAAAAGCTACAATCGTGTGTCATGGTTCAGCAATCACTCATAATCCAGAGCCAAAATGTCACAATCCTCTAGAAGGGTCGCAGAAATACAGGCTGTCATAGGATTCTTGGTTTATATAAGAAATATGGGCTCAAAGGGTTATTTACTAAACTGGGCAATGTCAATAAAATTAAAAGCTAAACTAAAAATTAGCTTAAAAATAGTTTTTTTCCTAATTTGTCTTATAATTTACAAATCCAGTGTTTTACTTTCTGCACAATTCAAAACGTACAAACTATGAGCAGTTTACCAATCAAGATTAACATAAGGGAGAAAGAAAAAGCAAACAATATCTTTTTTATATCAATTTAACTATATATATATTACAAATATATATATATATATATAGTTATTGTAAATTAAGTAGGTGCTCTTTTATATGCGAGTAAGAACAAAATGCACATAATCAAGCAGGATGTATAACATAATCATGTCACACTATATTTGCATAGCCTAACGTTAAAAAGAAATCAGAGGAGAGATGATATTATTAAGTGAGATAAAAGTAAATTCAAGACCTGACAAGGGGCAGATTTTTTATCATAACTCACAGATTGCTCTTCATATAATACAGTGGAGAAAAATGTTACTCATACTTACGAGTATCAGCAATTTTTCAGCCAAGTACAGGAACTTCTCTGTCTCATCCACTTCTGGGTTGTGAGAAGTGAAACTGTTTGAAGCTCCTCTTATTGCACCACTATACAACTGTTCTCAGGTACGCCTTCTTCATGATATCAGAGAAAAGCATTTACAACATAGTGCTTCTTTTACCCCTTGCCCTTCACCCCTCCTACTGTTTATATATATATATGTATATATATATATACCCCTCCCTGTTACAGGTGCCTCATTCCAGGACCCTATTTAGCCTTGACTTGCAGAGAGTCCCAGTAAGGAAGTATTTCCCAAGTAAGTGGATTAATCTCATAAGAGCAAGCATTAGGCTGCTACTAGGATAAAACTGCCGAACATGGGGTACTTTGACGTAGTTGGCAGGCTTATGCAATGTGTAATCATATAATGTAAGTAAACCCCCATCATTTTTTTCCTAGGTGAGGTGTTTTTAAATAAAACTCTTAGAATCTCTAAGATTTGAAATCATTGTTTAGTGAATAAGCGAGTGCGCTGGATTCTGTATTTTGTATATATATATATATATATATATATATATATATATATATTAATAAAACCAGGAAGGCTGAACTCACCCAAGCATACGTACATTATAAGAATGTTCCTGGGATCAATTGATATAACATACAGAATCCAGTGCACTCACTCACTCACTCACTAAACAGCAGCTTCAGAGCTCAAATAATTAAATAGTTTTGTTTTTTGCTTTTTTTTATACCTGAATTAGGCAAAAATAATAAATTTCGGAAAGAACAAAGGAAATAGGGCGCGCGTTTAATAAAAATAAACACTAAAAAAATAATCACTAAACATTCTCTGTGGCATTATTAGCGCTGATCCTTTTTTGATTATAAAAATAATAAATTTAGTTACACTATAGCAATAAATTTAAGGTACTTAACTTGCTGAATGCAAGTAAGTGCCACATGTATATAATGAGTACCTCATATACACATATAAAGATAAATGCACTATAACCTTAGAAATATAGAATTTGAGAGATCAATTTCTACAAAAAATTGTGTTACATAAAACAATCCTTATACGGCTAGTCCTTAACCCTAAAAGTCTTATCTAATACATACAAGGAACCTTGCAATAGTTATATTGATTTAAGGGCAATACATTTGGCTTTAATAGCCCAGCTAATGCCCTAGTAGTCAAATCAAATCTTAATAACTGAGAAAGAAAAAACAGAGCCTAAGTGTAAATGTAAGACAGAGTAGTGGTAGAAGAAAATGGGGAGAACCCCTAAACTGCTAGCTGATACGAGTGAAAAAAAGAAAAAGAAAAAACTACCAGTAGGTGTCTCTTAACTTTATATAGAGTAACAATCTAAACAGATATTGTCACAGTTGCAGATAAACCTTAAAACATAACTTTTAATTAGTATATTAAAAAATATGGAAAGAAAAAGTGATAAAAGCAAAAAGCACCAAGCTTAATATTAGTCCAGTATAGGTAATCTTGCTACAACTAGCACAGAACCCTCAAATATAGCAGGGAGAGTAGAGTGGGAAAAAGATACTACTAAATCGAAATGCTCCTATTACTACATAAATATGCAGTAAAGATGCACAAAGAGGAGCGCAGAGCACATGTATTCACTAAACTCTCCTGCAGTCGAGAGTCTGATCAATGTGTGAAGAATGCCTAAATGACAAGGGGAGGATGGGCGGGAAACTGTTGCTGACCCGGATCCTAAGTGGCACTGAGGTCAGCTTACTTGTCACCACCCACTTCCTCACATCCAACACCCCCACCCATAACAAACAGCCAATCATGTTTCATCCATTTCCACACTCATACATGTGCCCTTGTCCGCGAAGCTGTGCACTCTCCCTTGGGCCTGTTCTCATACCGGGTGCTAGATACAGTTCAATACAATTTTGCATATATTTATCTGCACTCATG